GGCGTAAAAGTAAACTCAATCAATCAATCAGAGTGAAGTTGCCAGTTTTCCGGATAGGCCAGTTCCTTTGTAAACTTCGTTGTTTCCAGTGGTCACCACTAGCTGGGACACCCTTCCATAACACATCTCTTTTGATTTCGCACTACAGCACACGGCTTCGTATCCCAAGCGCGCTGACCTGGTTGACACATGTCATGGTATCCCAATTGCGTAGATCGATGCTCATAATGTTGATCACTGGATTGTCTGGTCAAGACTCAAATATTGACATACCGCACTCATATGGTGTGAAACAAACAAACAAACAAGCAAACAAACTGCAACCAATTAATTAAAGAATCCACACTTTCTGCGAGGAAAACGTCCACCGAACGACTTTGGCGTGCGATGTAATAGGAATATAGGAGATGCAGCTATGTATGACATGCGTACAGGGTCTTCAGATGCATGTTGTTAGAGTGAGTGAGTGAGTATGGTTTTATGCCGCTTTTAGCAATATTCCAGCAATATCACGGCGGGGGACACCAGAAATGGGCTTAACACATTGTACCCATGTGGGGAATCGAACCCGGGTCTTCAGCGTGACGAGCGAACGCCTTAACCACTAGGCTACCCAACCGCCCCACATGCTGTTAGATTTCTGGTGGGTATGTCTATCGTATAATGTATCTCTGTAACTTTCGTTATATGTGGGCGGGTGAGTGAATTTAGATTTACGCCGCTTTTAGCAATATTGCAGCAATATCACGGCGGGGGACACCAGAAATGGGCTTCACACATTTGTACCCAGGTGGGGAATCGAACCCGGGTGTTCGGCGTGACGAGCGAACGCTTTAACCACTCCGCCCCTGTTATATGTATATAACCTAAACCATAGTATACACGCATGGATGATTACTGAAATGTGATGGTAATGGATACCTAACTTTGTCTCCATTGTTTTCTACCAAGAAACGTATGGATGACCTTCTTAATTGTTTGGTTAAATCCAATTTTCCATAGACCACTTTCTTCTTGGATTATTGGATTCTATGAAATGTGAAAATGTGTACATTTTCTACGTGCTCATTCGTATCCGAACATATAATTCAGTCTGCATTTCCCCCATATAAGTGTTGTCCCTATAACAACAGGACATTTGTATCTGGCTGTTTAAAATTATGTTCATCATAAATGTATGCAACCTCGTTGTTTAATTCGCAGTTTATTACGAATCTCACTCATCGTGTGTGGAGTGGATCCAGCCTTACTGTGTATGGGTGACTTCGCCATTCTTTGTTTCATTATATTATGTTATGATGATACAAGAAAACAGATTGATATAAATACACCGATTCACAGAGATTAAAAGACACCGCTCGGATTAACGGAATTCACCGTACTGAAACTAAATATATACGAACAAAACGATAATTATAGTAATTATCATTATTCAAATTATAACAATATCCATCCTTAGAATCATCTGCACTTTTAGTTTATTAGGCAATAGAACCAGTCTGATAAATGGATTTGACAGTCAGCCTCAAAACAGGAAATCTATATTGGACGCCTTACATTGACAATAACTGATATTTTCACATTAAATCTCAGCTCACGGCAGCGCGAGCAGCCTTCTCGAGTGTAACAAGTTGCAGGTACATATCATGTGCGCTGGCTCTGCACAGCCCTGGGGCATTCGGAACCATTCGTTCAAATCCGTAGGTTTGAGGAAACACTTGTCCGTTGGGACCTCGGATATGGTCGAGGAGAGGTGTAATGAAAGCAAAACACCTCTTTAATACATTAAGGAATTGATTCCACGAGTGTATTACTTCCTTTGCCTGAAGGAGTAACGCGAGACTGTCGTCATTCCGCGGCGGAGCGACGCCTCTCTGTCTTCTGGATACAATCGGGGAGTCATTTCTCCAATTAATAAAGCACGTTTGTTGAGCGTGTGTCTTAACGTAGAAATGAATTCCATGTTTGTGTTTGATTGTGTCCTCGTTCATAATAGAGATTGCTACATGTGTCCTTCATATAGCATATATCTTACAACAAGTTGTGTCAAAACGTTTCTGAAGTGAGAGAATATATGGCACATGGCAGACAGGTGTACACCCATCTGTCCCTAATGCACCCTCGCTATCCTAGCATCCAATCGGTTCGTGTTTTGTTCATTCTCATGTCGCAGTGGCGCATTAATACGTCACGTGTGACGTCCTCAGACTTACCTGTAATACGTATACCGATACGTCATAATTGAGCCGAATCTGTGGATTGTCCAACCGACGATCAGAATCAAAGTAGGTAACATCAAAGACCATTTTTAAACAATGCATAAGAAAAACAACAACAAAAGACAAAACACACTAAATCCTGGGTTTTATTCCTTCAATCTGAGACTATTTTCTTGTGTTGCCCTCTGTGTTACGGCGGAAGTAAAGGCCGGCAGATGGATACCCTGGACTAACCAATACTTTATTTAGACCAGTGCTCGTTTGTGTGGCATACAGTCTGGCTGAGGATGAAATAGTGACTGTACTCATACATGTATCATCCAAAGTAGGGCGAGCCGGCATTCGTATCCACGATGGATTGATTGATAAATCATTTAAGATTTATAGCGATTCGGGCCACTAGGCCCATTTACACCTTGACCACCAAAACGGTTTGCTAAGTTTCTAAAATTTCATAAAATAGCAAAGCTGCCACACGCTTTAATACAAGCAGGAATTACAGTGTGAACTTCATGGTGAACGATATTCCTTGAACAAATAGTCCAGCCAGTGAGAGGTCAATATTGAGAGCTGTAAGAGATTACACCATTGCCTTACGTTGATTTACGTATTTTTCAATGCAGTAAATAATACACTCTGTACAAATTGCAGACATATTTTTATTAATACTACTGAGACATATACTAAGACCACAATGCCCAAGACGAAGTCTGCTATAAAAAACCTCTTGTTCACTGTCAGAAAGTAATGAATTATGTGCTTTTCGATTTTCAATTATAAGAAAATTAAGGCTTTTCGCCTCTTGCCAGTTCAACAATTATATACACCCGCCAGAAACACCCGACTTCGATTTTTTTCGTGTGTGTCTATTTTTGATGTAACCACGTGCTGTCCGTGCCTTGCTTCGCACATGTTGCGGGAATGCCTGTACTAGAAACGTGAATGCTAGTAAACTTACCCGAACTACCGACGACTATTTCGTCTTCTTTTCATCCACGATCAATGGACGCAACACATCTGGGCGACTTACGGCGCCTCCCGGGACCTCGGCACCTCGGTCCTCTACGTGTTTTAAGATAATTCTGAATTTCATATGGTACTGTCGTGGAAGTGGGAATTTGACTTTTCAAATCAGATAATGTTTGATTTTCCCATATGTTGCACCGACAATTATTTCACTAAAACAAAAATAAACAACTTATCTGAATTTGTCTAAGAACGAGCTCCACCGATGTCCAGTCAACCAAAACTCGAAACTGAAATGCAGCTAATACGCATAAGATGTTTCTTAAAAAATTCCAAAACCGAGCTCTACCGAGTGTATGGCCAATTTTAGAATTCTGAAGAAATGCCCAAAAGTGTAAATATTTCAATTTTCTGAGCCATTTGCAGTTTATAATTGTCTACTTTATGGACCGTGGCAGTGTGAATAATTTAGGCCCACGTGCAGAAACACAGTAAGCACGTGCAAAACAGTTTCTCCAGCAGTATTTTCATATTTTTTGTCGCCAAAATGTCTTCTCCGGTGATGTACGGTACGTTATGAGGTACTAAACCTGTTTCCAGATGAAAAGATAGAACGACATTTAGAATTATTATGAATATGAATTATGAAATATGCCATTTGTGAAGTCCGATCGGTTGTAAATCTTTGTTTTCATATAACGGACTTAAACCTCCTCACTCACTGGAGCTTGGCACGCGAGAGAACTGTGAACGTTCTTAATTAGATATTGATGCGCTAGCTTAAATGCAAGTGTTTTGTCTAACGTTTCCGAAGAGGTTAAATCGACCCGTTCAAATGGCAAAGACGTGTCATCTCAAAACTCATTTACTCAGTAAAATAAATTTGCATTCTACTTGAGATTCTTATATATACTACCCATCAAAAGTTTAGACTCACTTAAAGCACTCACTATATGTTATGTATATGTATGTGGTTACATCGAAGATGAATTTCTCCACCAACTTGGGGGAACCAACTGAAAACCTTATGCAGATGAATTGCACAAGGATGATGCTTCAAATTGCGAAAGGCATGAGCAAATGTCGTGCATGTGAACAGATGCGTTTTGGTGTAAAGTTTTGTTAAGAATTCGCCAATTTTCACAGATTTTAATCATTTACTGAACTCATGACAATAATCTTTTCAATGTTACGAATATGTTTTACAATACACCAGTTCATAACTAAACAGTACCTTTAAACAGTATGGAATATTTTGCAAAAAGCTAGTTTAGAACAGTGGACAAGTAAGTGGCTACATTTACACTAGTGAGTCTAAACTTTTGATGGGTAGTAGTACTGTCAACTGTATCTGTTTATAGTACCGTCAACTGTATCTGTTTATAGTACTGTCAACTGTATCTGTTTATAATACCGTCAACTGTATCTGTTTATAGTACCGTCAACTGTATCTGTTTATAGTACCGTCAACTGTATCTGTTTATAGTACTGTCAACTGTCTATAGTACTGTCAACTGTGTCTATAGTACTGTCAACTGTATCTGTTTATAGTACTGTCAACTGTGATCATAGTGCTATATACAAATATGCATGTAGTATTATCTTGGTCTTCAGCAACCCATGTTTGCCTTAAGAGACAACTAACGGGATCGGGTAGTCAGACTCGCTGACTTGGTTGACACATGTCATCTGTTCCCAATTGCATAGATCGGTGTTCATGCTGTTGATCACTGGATTGTCTGGTCCAGACCGCCGCCGTATTGCTGAGTACGGGGTTCAAGAAACAAACAAGCCCACAAGGAAAACATAACAATGTTAAATATTAGATAATTTAATATACATTGTACATTCACGTGACTCGGCGACCCCATCTTCAGTGTGGACCTCACACCAACAGTTCTACCGATGTCGACATGTCAGGACCATCACCATAGTGGACATAGGGACTATGCTGGTAACGGGGAGAATCGAACCGTGGGTGACGAACCAACACGTTATCAACGCGACCACTGACGCCTGTATACAACGCTACATACATCTAACGTAATGCATTGAAGATCCATTTACAAAATGAGACATTTATTGTTGTCATTGGCTGGTCATGTTCAAGATCTGATGCGACAGTAAGTAATAATCTCTCATATTTATGATGGGAAGATACTGATGTTTTCTCTCGGGCATACCAAGTAATATTCGCTCAGTTGCTAGGCTATTAATACTCTCAAGTGTCCTTCATTGTGGACGATCTGCACGTGATCAATGACTAGGTTCACCACGCTGGACATATCTGTACCACAATCTGTGACGTAATAGAGTATGACGTCATCATAAAAATTCTGATGACGTAACGGATTGTCATATTGTGGTTGTATAGCCTATAGTTGTTCGGCCGATGCTTGATCCACGGAGATTTCTGAGATAACGTCAGGATGACGTCACGGATTTGTTGCCATGGGAACCATGGTGACCGGTGTATCGTCTGATGGAGAAGCGGACCAAACAGGGCGCGAGGAATCTGAAATGTTACCAAATAGAACTAAAATATAAATCCTAATCATAATAAGCTGATAAAGGACAGAGGTTTTGGATGTCATCTTTTTTATGCTTACTCCATCATCAGGTGAATGACAGGATGCAGAATAACTGGGTACCATGAATATATTTGTTGATGCTGTTGCGAACAGTGGTGTTCTTAGTCTTCACGACGAAAATAAACCAAACCACCCCACCCCACCCCATCACCGATCCTTACCATGTTTTGTTATTACATGTCTGAAGATGAACGCGCTGGTGTCAATAACGTACCTATGTGTGATTGAAGATGGATTTTAAGATCAAACTGATGAGCGAATTCCTGGCCACATGCTTTACAAACGAAGGGCTTCTCACGCGCATGCGTGCGTCTCACGTGACTGTCATGGGCGGCGTGTGAAGCGAAAGCCTTGCCACAGAATTTACACTGCAAAGAAAAGTAGGAGCCATTAGTATTGACGACATTGTTTTCATACGGGTTCAGATGAAGCGTTCCAGGGTTGTAGAATGGGTTTATCTGCTTTCTCCATCTGTGCTGAAGACATCGGACGATGAGAAAACAAAACATAATTCATTGGCGGATCCAGAGGGGGGGTTCAGGGGGTTCGAACCCCCCCTTTTGAAAATGACTTAAGACCACATTGAAGATTTTTTCTTGCGTTGGCGGAGCCAGGGAGATTCAGGGGTTCGAACCCCTGAAACCCCCACCCCACCCCCGTTTCAAAATTCCTGGATCCACCCATGTAATTGTTACATTTTCATCTAAATCTTAAAAACTTTGGCAAGCATTTAGTCCGAGTGTTTGAAAAACAACAACCCATCAGGTTATCTGTGCACATTTACTGTCAAGCGACATGCTCCACGCGCATGGCAACCTACTTCAACGTCAAGAATGGGGAAAGAAGAGATTGTTCTGTTGTCGGTAGAAACTTGGGCACAACAATATAAAGTGAGGCAGTGCCGATAAAAAGGAGTAACAAATTCGTAGTATATCATTATATTTGTTTGTGTAACTGGTACTTTCCATGTCAATGTAGGATTGAATTTGTCAGTACTCCTTTGAGCTAACGGAAATATTGTCTCAGTGAACGTAAGGCGCCGCGATCTGCTTTGCAGAGTTGCGTCCCTTAAGCGTGTCATAATCTTATGACCAATTCGATTCCTTGTTTTCTAATTATGGCTATTGGTTTGTCTACATTATCGCTTACCAGCTGACATGCCGTGACAATTCTGAAACACTGTTCATAGAGTGAGTGAGTCAGTGAGTGAGTATGGCTTTACGCCGCTTTTAGCACTATTCCAGCAAAATCACGGCGGGGATGTTCTTACAGGGCTAAACCCAAATCTCTCTCCCTCACTCACTGAATCACAGAATATCTGTGATATCTCGAGAGTGAGTGAGTGAGTGAGTTTAGTTTTACGCCGCACTCAGCAATATTCCAGCTATATGGCGGCGGTCTGTAAATAATCGAGTCTGGACCAGACAATCCAGTGGTCAACAGCATGAGCATCGATCTGCGCAATTGGGAACCGATGACATGTGTCAACCAAGTCAGCGAAACTGACCACCCGATCCCGTTAGTCGCCTCTTACGACAAGATAGTCGCCTGATATCTCGAGAGGACTGGAAACATTAAAATCAAGGTTTCATCGATATCGGTCTTTTCCTAACAATGATCAGCGGTGTCCCTCACCTTGAATGGCCTTTCGCCGGAATGCTGACGGATGTGGGTGCGCAGTATAGAGGAGGCTGTGAATGACTTGCTGCAGTAGACACACTTGTACGGCCGCTCCCCGCTGTGAACCTGCAACACCGCACACACTCAGCATCAACCACATGGCAATATTCAAACATGGGGGTTTGTTTCTTGATCTATCTTAATAATGATCCTGAAAGGGCAGGGGCTGATAACTCTGTTTGTTTTTTGTTTGTTGTTTAACGCTGCACGTAGCAACATATGATGGCGGTCTGTAAATAAGCGTGTCTGGACCAGACAATCCAGTGGCCAACATCATGAGTATCGATCTGCGCAGTTGTGTGATATGTCAACCACCCGATCCCATTATTCGCCTCTTGCGACAATTGCATGGGTTGCTGAAGACCAGTTCTAGCCAGGATCTACACGGGTCAGATAACTCAGTACTTCCGCCATGAAGTCGATATGACTGTAGCTTTAATCGTTATCATAATCATTATGAAAAAAAGTCTCTGGAAAGCTATTCTTTAAATATACATAATGCCTTCTGTTCGACCCCATTTTGAAGAATGGTACAGAAAAATATAAATAGAACACATCGAACCCAAGGCCACGTCATACCAAAAGACGTTATAAGACGGTACTTGTTGTTTCTCTGCCTGGCTATAGGCATTACGGGAATGAAACAAGGACTGGTCGGTCTAGTCTGTATCCTGCGTCTGTGTTAAACGGTGGCATGGTATCTCAGTGGGCTAGTACAAAATATGTTTTACTCAAGACTATGCTACGTACATAAAATAAGGGAACTGATGCACTGGTGGTGAAGATGTGATGTCTGTAAACTTGATTTCCAGTGTGAAGATCAACATCCGGTTTGTTCGCCATGTTGGGAGATGCATGCAACGCACCCTGATAGCATACGGGATCTGGGCACACTCTCGGTTGCCATGGTAGCGGACCAGTCTCCGCATGGGCTTCTGCATGCACGTGCATCACGTGTTGTTCACGAAATTTCATGTTGTGATTAGATGCTACTGTAAGACGCACCGCGACCGTTTTGTAAATCTACACCTCAACGATTGTTACATTCAGAGCATCAGTTTCCTTGTTTTGTCTTGTCGGTACTATTAACACATGCAGCTGTACACACATCTGAACGGTTGTCTATGAAAGTGAAACAATCTTGAATGCCGATACGATATCACTTTGGTCTGGAATGTTCCTGTGTTAAACAAACAAACAAAACAAACAAACAAACGCCGACTGAAATATGCAAACCTACCCTCATGTGTTTGTTGAGACTGGAACTCTGACTGAAACTCTTGCCACAAACAGCACACTTGTGGGGGCGGTGCTTCTCGTGCACGTGCAGGACGTGGATCCGTAGACGATCACGCTTCTCAAACGATCTGGGAAAACAAAAAGTGGACATAGGTAGAGAAATATGATAGATAATGTCAACGTCCTTGGACGGGAAATTTGCATACGAGGAAAGTTTCACAGAGCGGTCTTAGCGCTAAGGCGATCGTGACTGCCGCACTTTAACACAGGCTTCGATCGTCATCACGCTAAGATGGTTTTGTGGTACGGGGCCCTGAGTAGATTGTGACCGTGTTTCTACCGATTAACAATATTTGTAAACTTAGTACCACAACGGACCTTTGTGTCATACATAGTGTTGAGGTGTCGTCATTAACCGGTGCTTAACGCCAATAATATGTTCACTGATTCAATCTGCTGTAACCTGCAGAAATTCTGTATAAGACCAGAAATAATTACCCTGCCTATTTTAAAGGTGCATGAATTGTTTGTGAAACCGGCATTAATTGCACTGACAAAATTCAGGGATCCTAAGGCCAGTGTTATTTACATTTAAATACATTCAGCCTGCAAGAATTCATGTAAAATAACTGTACAAATAACTGAATGTCCAAACGTGACAACTACTTAATATTGTTAAAGCATAAAATATGGCTAGGAATTTGCTTGCGCTGGAGTGTTATCGGTCACTGCGTCCAGACATAGAAATAAATGTACACATAAGAGTGTGTGAGTATGGTTTTACGCCGCTTTTAGCAATATTCCAGCAATATCACAGCGCGGGGGGACACCAGAAATTGGCTTTGCACATAGTACCCATGTGGAGAATCGAACCGGTCTTCGGCATGACAAGCAAACACTTTAACAATTAGGCTATCCCACCACCCCGTACACGTAAGAGCGACACATTCACCACACTCGGCAAATACAAATGTGTAAATTTCTATAACCTGAACTATAAGTGAGTTGTCATTACTTTGGGCGTCTTGAGGTATTTCTATCAAAGTGTGTGCTTTACAACAAATACTATACTAACATCCTCATAATAGTCATCATTCCTAACTAGTTTCGTTAGATTATGTATGGACAAAATGTCTTGTGGCTACAAAATTGTTGGAAACAGACCCCTAGGTGTGTGTGTGTGTGTGTGTGTGTGTGTGTGTTTTTTGGGTTTTTTTGTGTGTGTGTGTGTGTGTGTGTTTGTGTGTGTGTGTGCCTGGCGGTTAAAGCGTTCGCTCGTCACGCCGAAGACCCGGGCTCGATTCCCCACATGGGTACAATGTGTGAAGCCCTTTTCTGTTGTCCCCCCGCCGTGATATTGCTGGAATATTGCTAAAAGGGCGTAAATCCAAACTCACTCACTCACTCCAGACCCCTATGAATGACATTACGGATTAACTAAGATCGAATTAAAATGTCGGGTGTTGTTAAACCTGTTCTGAGTAGTGTGATGGTCAGTCATTGGGAACACGTTCAATGTACATTCATACCTGCTGCAGAGGTGACAAGGGAACTTCCGGTCACCTTGGTCCACACACTTGGTGTACTTAAGGTGCTTGTCCCGGTAGTATTTGTAGGCGAATACCTTCCCACACCGCTCGCACTGGTACCCGTCAGTGTCTGGAACAAGAACCACTCTGTAACTAATGGCAACAACATTAACAACAAATACATTTACGGTTCAATGTACCTGTACTTAACAGTCTGAATTATCGCCATGAGTATTAAGGAAGCAATCAACTGATACCCAAATGCTTCAATGACTTATGTATGTAACAATTGAATTTTTCACACGAAACCAGTCTTATACTACTTGATAGAATTTGTGCAGAAAACCGTCCTAAAACTATAGATAGCAGAATGTTTTAATACTAATACCCTTTCTTATATTAAGCTGCGTTTGGAATAGGCGCTCCATGACCACCTCTGAGTCCAAGTCGGAAGGGCTGTAACTTGGATATAACTAATATTGTACCCACAGTGTCGCAAATCGGACATATTTCTGAAACGTTACTTACATCCAGCAGAATATCACCTCTGTATACAACGAACGTAACAAACTAGTAAACATGTCGTGTTTTAAATTCAATAAATGCACTGTCGTTACAGCCATCTTTAAACGAAGAATACATCGGGGCGTCTTTATTCAATAACCAAGAATACATCTGGGCGTCTTTATTCAACAACCAAGACTACATCTGGGCGTCTTTATTCAACAACCAATGATGAATAGGAAAGGAGAGATCTGCATCAAACCAAGACTACATCTGGGCGTCTTTATTCAACAACCAAGAATACATCTGGGCGTCTTTATTCAACAACCAAGAATACATCTTGGCGTCTTTATTCAACAACCAAGACTACATCTGGGCGTCCTCGTATCACAACCACCAGCTGCAACACAAGTGAGTGGCGGTACCGTAGGGCATGCTCAACCTCTTCGAAAACAACTGATTTCATAACGGATATGTTTCCCCGAATTTACTAATCCAGACAGGTTATTTTCTGGCGTTCACGTTTCATTTACTCTTCAATTCACCCCAAAAGATTGTCTTCCCGTTTGCGAGCAATTAAATATATGGAACATGGACACAAACTATCTTGCGACCAAGACAAACAAACATAAATGTGATTCATGGAGTCTTGTTGATAAATCCGTTGAGTCAGCAGCGCGGAAGGTGCTTGATTATAACGAGCTGGGTAATCCCGTGTGCACCTTCGGACGCGTAACGGGAGGGCGTAGACCCACCAACCAGAGTTAGTGAGTGACTTGGGTTTAGCGCCGCTTTGAGTTACTTTCCACAGGTAAGTTGTTATCGTTATTACCTAATCTCAACATTCAGACCCTGAATATGATACATCTCATTACATAGGGTCTAACTTGTAAAATAAATTTGTTCTAAAAAATTATGCCTTTATAATTATATTCCTAACGAGTGTAAACAATAATTGATTCGAAAGTTGTTCGTAAACGTCCACAACTTTAATTAGAATGACGCTTGGCCATTGAAGATTGGTCATGATCGTGGATATTGTCAGTACATCCCAGACAGTAGTGTTGTTTTCATGACCTCGCAAATCTCATCCTTTACAAATCCCCGACACATAACTCTGACGTATTGTAATACTATAATAAATGTTATTCACATTAAAACCGCATCACTCTGCACTTTGTCTGCGTCTTTTCTCCCACCCTCTCTAATGATGACCACTCAATCAGATTGGGCAAGAATTACAATTGTATATACGTGGATTATCTCCCCTTGACGGCTCCCTGAGGACCTCGCCCCGTCTTCAAATTGGCCATTTCGTTGTCTCAGTCAACACGGCTTCTCATTAGATTCGGACACGGAACTCGACTGTTAGGATTAAACCAGTTTATGGCACAACAAAAAATGACGTCCGTCAGATGCCTTCTTGCCTGGCTTATTAGAGGGAGCTTTACCTAAACCCTCCTCAACAAATGACGATAAACAGAACACTCCCGTGTGACCAGTGCGGTGCTTTGGATCGTACCCGGTTTTTTACGACTTGCCGTAAAACGGCAACATTTCTTGTTTCCATTGCTGAATTGTATTGTGGGATTAGAGACATGCGAGTCAGACGGTATTCGATCTCGCTTCAACACATGAGAGCTACAATTAACATGGTAATATAACACAAATAAAGCTCTTAAACCGAAATCTAAGTAAAATACCGAAATTGATGTCCATATTACAAGAATGTGGACTTTATTTTGGGAAGTGTCGGTTTTTCTGAGTATACGTTTATTCGGGATGTTCATTATTGAAGTAGTGCAAGGACCATGCTGAACCGTTCCACTGAAACAATCCCGGTTCTACAAGATGATTTTCCTTACATGCACAGTAACAACGTTTCGAAGGGAAGTGCGGAATCTATGTATAGTCAACACGAATGAAATAACAACATGCACATCAAAGCATTTCAAACTGAGTACTTATTACAGAGTGAGTGAGTGTATTTCGTTTGATCCAGGGCGAAAAGAAGGTGGTCGTCACATGCCGTGCAAATGTAAGAAATTGAACCTGGATCTGTGACCACTTGGCTACTTTTGTTCCCAGCAGCAGGACACGACATAACAATTGCTTCATTTTCATTATTTGCGCAAATGTTCTTACCTTCTCTTTAGTACAAGACTGTATACGATATTCGATTTATCACCCAGTATCGAATGTGGAGTGATGACAAAAGAGTATATTTATTTCAGTGTGTTTGTTGTTTAACGCCGCACTCAGCAATATTCCAGCTACAAGGCGGCGGTCTGTAAATAATCGAGTTTGAACCAGACAATCCAGTGATCAACAACATGAGCATCGATCTACGAAATTGGGATACGATGACATGTGTCAACCAGAGCCTGGCTACCCGAACCCATTTGTCGCCTCCTACGACAAGCATGGGTTGCTGAAGACTAATTCTAACCCGGATCTTCGCGGGAGACAAGCATGGGTTGCTGAAGACCAATTCTAACCCGGATGTTTACGGGTCATTTATTCCAGTCGGCAGTTTCCGGCAGTTTACATTCATTAAAATAACAGCCAAAGAATATCAATAAAAAAGATTCCTCGGTATAAGATAGCAGTGAACGAGCCTAATGTCATACCCTGATACAAAGAAAGGGAAATCCATTGACGTTCGCGTCAATAAAGCATTGTTTGTTTGTTGTTTGTGTCTCCCGCCACGACAACGTGTAGATGACCGAGTCCCGACCAGACAAACCAGTGACTGATAGTACTGGTTCCGGCAAACTAGCAAGTCATCGAGCATGACCTCCGAGTCTGTTTATTACCCTTTAACCCATATTCCCATCGGGGATGGTGAGTGAGGGTGGTTTCTCGCCGTCGTTAGCATATTCCGCTTCACATATTGAACTCACCTGGAGAATCCGCTTTCAAAGCTTCGCTATCGCTATCCACCGCCACACTCAACTTAACAGGGTAAGAATTCTGTTTAATTTGTTACAAATGATTATTAGTGAATTAAAACCCGTGACAAATAATGTATCAATTGGATAATTACTTTCTGTCTCTTTAGGCCTCTCCAGCTCCCCTTCGACGACCTCCTCCTTCATGGTGACAGGAATCCCCATCACCTGCACGTACTTCTCCCCGTACCACACCAGCAGCTCTGCCCCTGGGCAGATATCTCTCGTGGCCTCGTAGAACAACTCGTCGCCCTCCTGGAACACGTGCATGTTCTGCTCGCCACCGTGACGTGCGCAGTTCACATACGACATCCAGTTTCCGGCCGCGCCTCTTCCGTCAATAAAATGGCTGAGTCGGCCATCTTTAAAAATCTGTTTAAATATACATATTTGTTAGAATACCAGGCGCGTAGCAACACAATGTTTTCGTGGAAGCCCGATAGGTTGCAAAGCTTTATATTTAGATAGTATTGAGGGCTTGCCCAATCTTTTTAGCACCAATCATGTGTAAGCCCGGGCTTTTTTATAATGGTAGCTACGCCCCTGAATACGATTTTGTGACGAAAAACAAGATCAACTTTGAGAGCTTTAAAAATTACACCCCAAATACATCAAAATGGTATCCGGAGTAACGACTAAGTTTTTAATGGCGTTGATTTAAATTATTAAGCAATCAGTATTGGGTGATATCGGTTGTTTATTGTTTCTTCAGAAAGTGGTATTCACCTTCAATATTTTAACACTATCTGCATTCTGAGACATGAAACCTATCTTGGACAAACGAAATGTTGGGTCATCAATATTCTACTGGAATTTCTTGTATTGACGACTAAAGAAAAAAATCATAAAACTATCCTCTTCACTTTCTTGATCCTTAACCAGTTTTGTTAAGTATGTTTTTTAATACATTAGAGCGCAACCAATTAGAACTTACACTTATTTCTCGGATATTTCCAGATGACGAAACATGTTCAAACATGAAATGTTGTTTGTAAATTGAGTGTAAATTTTGTGAAGTTGCTGTTTGTCATTCCCCAAACAATAATTAAACCAAGTAACTGTCGGCAAAATACAGTGTACACGTGAAAACTGAATTTGACCAACCTATCACACAATGTTATCCAAACGTAACAAGTGTGGAACAGTTACGTATGATCCTAACGTAACAAGTGTGGAACAGTTACGTATGATCCTAACGCACGTATCCGAATCACACACGGCCACATGTTTATTTCGTTGTAATATTACTATCAATCTAACGTGGGCGAGTGCTTTCTTCTGTAACCTTCTGTTTATTATCACTTCGAAGTACAGTAACAGGAGCGAATACAGCTTCTTGGGAAAGCTGGTGTGCACACTCTGGAGAAGGTGGGGGTGCACACTTCATTTTCACGAGAGTCTCCATCGTCATTTAATATATTTTCAGGACAAGGTGTGTGTGTGTGTGTGTGTGTGTGTGTGTGTGTGTGTGTGTGTGTGTGTGTGTGTGTGTGTGTGTGTGTGTGTGTGTGTGTGTGTGTGTGTGTGTGTGTGTGTGCACCCCTGCAAAAAAACCAAACCATCCCCTCTGGATCCGCCTATTAGTAAACTATGCTTATAACGAACTCAGAGGGACTATTTATTTTAGTTCGTTTTATACGGTAGTTCGTTCTGAAAACGTTTACAGCAGAATGCTGGGACCACAAAAATCGGACAAGAACCATATAACAAAAACCAGTTCGTTATTACGAAGCTTACTGCTCTGGAATCAAACTTGGTCGGATCCCAGATTATTCCCGCTTTAGGGCAAAACATGAATTGTGGTATTCACCAAATCCTCCCATTCATGCCCTTGTGAAAAAAATACAACAGACTCTATAACGTATTGTATGCTTGATATTTACGATTCCCACTGACCCAAGCTTCTATCAATTCCTGTCGGCGAAACAAGATAAGAAACACTTGCCTCCCACATAAAACTGTTTCCATCAAATGTTTTAATCTCGCTGGTGTTGACGATCTTGCCCTTGAATGGCCCAAATTTTGACCCCTTCTTGACTATGTCCTTCCGGCAGAAGACTCCAAAATGAGGAACTCCTCCTATGTTGGCTTGAGATAGGCACAGCTCTGCAAGAAATAAGACTTCTGTTGAAGTCAGACACAAACATGGAAGAACCGGCATTGAACAGGGTCTGTTTCACAAAGTGAACATCCCTCTACGACAGTTTATGTTAAAGTAGGGGCGATGGGGTAACCTAGTGGTTAAAGCGTTCGTTCGTCACGCCAAAGATCCGCGCTCGATTCCCACATGGGTCCAATGTGTGAAGCCCATTTCTGGTGTCCCCCGCCGTGATAGTGTTGGGATATTGCTAATAGCAGTGTAAAACTAAAATTCAATCACTCAATCTGTTAAAATAAGGGGGTTCCGACAGTCGCAGTGTTATGACGGCGTTGAGAAACTGGCTTCGGTGTGGTAGCTGTGAAGAGTTACCTCCCTTTGGCACAACAGAAACCTGTGATCGTTGGATTCATCCCCGTTATGCTTCAAGGCTTTTCACCACCATACCACTGCTTGTAGGTTTCACCACCATACCACTGCTTGTAGGTTTCACCACCATACCACTGCTTGTAGGTTTCACCAAATGCGAAGCCTGCTTCACGTTGGGCTTTCCTCACACATATAGCTAACTAGCTGTGTAACTGGAAAACCCCCACAGGGGCGTCAAACCCAAATCACTCACTCACTCACTAAGACGAGAGAAGGTTCAGATTAACCCAGATTCCCTAGATGCTGACAATACGAGAATCATAATCAGGATTGGATTCGAACCAGCGAGGAGCGACTGAGAGACGCAAGGGTACAACAAACCCGAATATATAGAGGAAATACTTGTAGTATATAACTTTTGACTGTCTCACAGTCCATGAACCACATCACTCTCCCTACTGCCAAGCCCTGTCTGCAGTGCTGAAGCCCTAAATGAAGCAAGTCTAGATTTCCTCAGGTTCCTCTGAATCGCTGGTCTCCCTGGGGCTCCTTTTTAATTTAAATAGGTATATTTGTTACTATCAAAATTATATACATGTATGTTCAGAGACTAAGCGTTAGTGTATATATAACTACAGCGAAAACATATAACTGGGTTATAAAGGTGTATACTGGAAAACAAAATGATAAGAAATAAATGCCGAATTTATTACCTTGAGGAAGGTCGTGAACGGGTGGATCTGATCTATAACCTCTCCACCCGGTGAAGGGGACAGACGCGGTTAGCTCCCCTGATGCCGTCAACATCTTGTCCATTCCACTAAAACCTGGACAGATTATTTCATCATTCAGTTATTTCAATTATTTCAATGGTCATTAAATAAACTTTCAGACAAGGGTGGTGGGTGTGGGGTGTGGTGTGGTGGTTTTGCACACACAGACACACACGTCTCTTGATCCGCCTATAAAACACATTTCGATTGGCATATGAAGTATCCTGAACTTACACGATGTAAAGACCTAAATCGGTAACTGTGAACACATGAGTGCTTTAACCTATATACACAGCCGCTATAGAAACTCAACAAACCAGCTACAAACACAAATGAATTTACAGACTATGGATTAATTGTAAAGACAATACCCAACAACAATGAGGAAAGCATTAATCCTTTATGTATTGGATATATAACATCAGTCAACAGATCAAGAACTCATACCATCATCTACCTTTTAGACGTCCTTGCCACATACAAAATGATAAGCTAGGTTTTGAATATTTCAAGATTTGTCAAAGTTTCAAGAAGGTAGCCCAGTTGGTGAACCGCTCGTTCTGTACGCCGTTGACCTGAGTTCGATAACAAAGGGCAAAGGATTAATGTCTTTTGTATAATTGCTGTAACGTTGCTATGGTAACAATACTTACTGTTCATGGCGCCAGATTTGATGCCGCTGAGAGCATGCGAACACGGCACAGGTGCATTATGGGAAGGTGTATACCCGTAGAGTGCAAAGTCAAGGTCCTCCTGCGTGAAGTAGAAGACGTTGTGAGGAGGTACAGGGGGACAGAGCAGGAGTCTGTTGGTGATGTCGGGGTGAAACCTGGGGGACAACACGGGGGGTCTGATCGGGGGGAGGCAGTGGGGTAGTGCCTCGGGTCCTGTGACATCACTTCGTGGGACCAAACTGTAATACAAAGGAAGAAACCATGGATACAACACAGTTTCACAGACTGTACAGATTGTACAGATTATACGGACTGTACATGAGAGCATGAAGAATTCCGTTATACAAATTCAAATATACTCATGCCAATAATGGTTGTCACCCCCTCCCCCACAACCCAACCCACACACAAGTTATGTAAATATGATACTTTCTGCAATGAGGTAGGAATGTTAAGAAACGGTTATATGCAATATTCAATCCATTTCAAACAAATTCAAATTTATCATTTTAACCAATTATTTAATGTCAATAGTATCGTTATCAGATGTCACCCAGATGTCACCCAGTTATATAGGAATTGTTGTGTGTTTGTTGTTTAACGCCGCACTCAGCAATATTCTAGCTATATGGCAGCAGTCTGTAAATAATCGAGCCTGAACGAGACAATCCAGTGATCAACAGCATGAGCATCGATCTACGCAATTGGGATACGATGACATGTGTCAACCAAGTCAGCGAGTCTGACCACCCGATCCCGCTAGTCGCTTTTTACGACATGGGTTGCTGAAATTCGATTCCAACCCGGATCTTCGGGGGTCCAGTTACCGAGTACAACACGATAATGTAATGGACTCTATCCTAAAGTCAAATAAAACGCACGTTCTGTGTCTTGCATCAAAACTCGTAAGAATTCGGGTCTGAATTTGTGACTCTCGAACCTAAGAGATCGTTGATAATTTATGGCAAGAGGGGGTGATGATGATTTTTATGCAAAAGCATGTACAATGTGATTGGCTCCCCCCCCCCCCTTAAATTTACGAACGAAGTAAGTGACCCCCTTGCATATCATGTACAAAATCAATGACCCTCTTCCCATAATTTTTAAATACTTATTTGTAAAAAATTGATGACACCCTAGTACATGTGTAAAAAATTGCTGACACCCCTCACCCCCGCACCCCCTCTTAAATGTAAAAATCTCATCATTAACAACCCCATCTCCGGATAGCACTTCAATCACTCTTTTAACGGTCAATGGTCAAGACAGGAAAGGACAGCTTGAATTTTCCCGCATGATTAAGTCAAACAATCAATATATACATGTGTTCCCGATCCACACTGGGGTACACTGTTTATGGGAAATGACAATATCATTTACTTGTGTAAAAGCACAAAAACCTCTGGGAATAATGTTAAACACGTAAATTCTTTCAATTTTAATCTTTTTAAAATATCAAATGCAAAAACATATATATCCACTCTTGACTATCCTGAGAACCATGTTCCATCTGACGAAAGGTGAGAATAACTGTGACAATCAAATGAATGCATCACTGAAAACCATATGATCAGGTATTCGTGAACAGGAGAATCATGTCCTGCCCTTTACAAGCTACCGTGTCAATCTTCAAGTCCTATAAACATCGTACAAGAAGGTTTTCCAGATATATGCGTTACATAATCTCAAAGTGATGATTAAAAACTTGATCAGTTTCTTTTGCCTGTGAGTATATACATTATATTACCCAGATGCTATTGTTGACGATCTTATTAATTCGTGTGGTATGTTAGCAATCTGAAAAATATATATTCGCATGTCACTATTTCAGACAAATGTGACGAGTTGGTATTCTAAACTTCAGTAGATCGTCAGTGATAAATCTGATAGGAGATGTTGCAATGCTTCAGTAGAAGTATGCGATGTCGGTGTAACAGAGCCCCACGAAGCCAGTGGAATGCACAAAACGATTTGAAATTCAGATTAATATTCCCACGGGGAACCCAACTGCAAGTAAAACCGAAGGGCGATGGATTAATTCCCGTCGGTCACGCCATTTCCCTACAAAATAGAAAGCTACAGGTAACGGTAGATCCTAGAGTTGGCCATCTTGTGAAAGTTTGATGGAGTTCAAGCAGCTAGGCGCCATCCATGTTGCCAGTTTGATATTCGATCCGGTTTCCTATCCTCGCTTCCACAACTGCCTGGCACGCCGGCAGATATCTAATATCAGGTGATATCGTCAGTAGATATCACTGCCTCTGGGTCCACATATCTCACCATCAGACCACACTACCCATGAATCGTAGAAGTTATTGTATCATACCATCATACAAACGCTTTACTGACGATTGGAATGTTGAACTTCCCTAGTTGTAGGATGGTGTAATTAGGGATTCTGTGAATTGTATGAGCGGAGGGTTCTCACAGATCTGGCTACAGGCACCACTAGACCCGGGAACTACAGGCACCACTAGACCCGGGAACTACAGGCACCACTAGACCCGGGAACTGGAGCTGCAACCGCGGACTCTCCTCTCCAGTAACTGTGACTGTTCCACTGGCATTTAGAAGTGAGTGAGTGAGTGAGGGAGTGGACGGGTTGGTGAGCGTTAGTGAGTTGGTCGAAGTGAGATTAAGTGATTGAGTGGGTCGACTTGAGAGGAAGTGATTGAGTGAGTGAATGAGTGAGACGGTCGAGGTGAGAGGAAGTGATTGAGTGAGTGAATGAGTGAGACGGTCGAGGTGAGAGGAAGTGATTGAATGAGTGAGTAAATGAGTGAGTGAATGGGTGAGTGAGTGGGTCGAGGTGAGAGAAAGTGAATGAGTGAGTGAGTGGGTCGAGGTGAGATAAGTGAGTGTATGAGTGAGTAAGTGAGTGAGTACCGGGGTAGTGAGTTAGGCTGGTTTATGCTGCGTTTACCAATATCCCAGCTCCATCACGGCTAGTCAGTTCAAGGTGGCACCACATCAAGTGAGAGATACAAGGACAGGACCATTTGTATGAAGAAAGTGTATTTACTACAACTGAGCTGACGTTTGGGTGTAGATTTTGACAACTGCGTAAAACAAGTGATACTGAGCAGGATGAAGAATGGGGATGTTGCCTGGTATATCTTCGAAGTTAACGGATGACAAACAGACAAAGTGTAAAACAACTATTTCACACAACCTGATACCGTTACCATAAAAGACTAGCGTAAAACTGTTACTAGGCTGTTGCCATGAACAGAACCGTGTTTGTAAAAGCTGGTTTAATGAGATAATGTGTTATAACATGGAGAATATATTTAAAAGCTTGTTTAATAAAATATTGTTATAACATGGAGAATATTTGTGAAAGCTGGTTTAATAAAATACTGTTATAACATGGAGTGTATTTGTAAAAGCTGGTTTACAAAATACTGTTATAACATAGAGAATAATTGTAAAAACTGGTTTAATAAAATAATGTTATAACATGGAGAATATATGTAAAAGCTGGTATACTAAGATACTGTCTTATAACTAACTAACTATATGTAAAAGCTGGGGTACTAAGATATTGTGTTATAACTAACTAACTATATGTAAAAGCTAAGATGTAAACTAACTAACTATATGTAAAAGCTGGGATGCTAAGATATTGTGTAAAAGCTATGCTAAGATATTGTGTTATAACCAACTAACTATATGTAAAAGCTGGGATGCTAAGATATTGTGTTATAACCAACTAACTATATGTAAAAGCTGGGATGCTAAGATATTGTGTTATAACCAACTAACTATATGTAAAAGCTGGGATGCTAAGATATTGTGTTATAACTAACTATATGTAAAAGCTGGGATGCTAAGATACTGTCTTATAACTAACTAACTATATGTAAAAGCTGGGATGCTAAGATACTGTCTTATAACTAACTAACTATATGTAAAAGCTGGGATGCTAAGATATTGTGTTATAACTAACTAACTATATGTAAAAGCTGGGATACTAAGATACTGTCTTATAACTAACTAACTATATGTAAAAGCTGGGATACTAAGATATTGTGTTATAACTAACTAACTATATGTAAAAGCTGGGATGCTAAGATATTGTGTTATAATATGTCGAATATATGTAAAAGTATGAATCAGCTCGGAAAAGCATTTCTTCTTATTTCTTCTTACAATGTAAGAATCCTGTATTTAATTAGGAAGAACCGGTGCAATATTGTTTGAAGAATAAGCAGTCCCATATTCCCGGGTCAGTATTCTGGGGCTTAGTGTGTATTTTCTTTATAAAGTTAGTTAAACCGGAAAGATATAATTTGTTTTCAGATAATGGACATATTTATACATGTGTTTTGACATCATATACATTCCGCTGGCAACTTGTACTGCAAGCACAGATAAATACCTATACAGTCAACTCGTGGGATAACATGTGTATACATTGGGAATATATTGCTTTCCAACAAAACGCTTGAAAATAATGCTTCACTATTTTAAAAATTTCCTAGACTATTTTAGAAATGTCCTAAAATATTTTAGAAATTTGCTAGACTATTTTAAATGGTGTCCAAGATATTTTTATGGATTAAACTTCTTTATAATTTCCCTCACGGCGTTTCACCTGATGAAGGGACCTGGAATGGTCTCGAAACGTCGTGAGGGAAATTGTGAAGAAGTTTAATCCATAAAAATATCTTGGACATCAATGTACAACTTCTAAATGCTACTGAAAGACATTATTTTAAATGGGTTTGTTTGTTACAATCAAAATTATATATAGTCAGAGACTAAGCGTTAGTCGAATACTATTTCTAAAGTTTCCTCGTTAGTCAAGTGAAACTGACTCAGGGAACGTTGTGTGTACAGAGGTCTGCCCGGTGGGTGTATGTGTATCCAAGACAACTATACACTATAGGTATATTATTTACAGAAACATAATGATGATGGGCCAGCGTATGACAGAACAGAGCAGAACAGAACAGAATCTGTGTCACGCTCAGGAGGGGATACTCGGCATAAGAGATACAGATATACATTTACGTGTACATGGCAGGAACATTGAACACTTTTCTTGATGGTATTACAAAATACACATATTTTTTTAAAACACTAATTCGTTTACAGATAAACAATTCGTTAAATTGTAACACGTTGGGTTTTTTAACATGACGGTTAGGAATATATGTTTTCCGATTACATTGTATGTTTGAAGAAAGAGCAGAGAAAAATGTTATAAAAGTCATCGCCAACATCACACGTGTTG